GTTGAGCCTGTGAATGGAGGCGTTGAAAACGGCCATTCATATTCTCAATAAAGTATCAAGAAAGTCGGTGCCCAAAACACCGTATGAGTTGTGGATAGAAAGAGTACCCTCACTAAACACTTGAGTGTGTGGGGAAGCCCTGCTGACGCTAAAGTATTTAACCCAAACATTGGAAAACTAGATCCCAAAATAGTAAGTTGCCATTTCATTGGCTACAAAGAAAAGTCAAAAAGGTTTTCGTTTCTACTATCCACAAAGTGACATACAAAGTTTGTGGAAACGAGACACTTGCTTAGCCTTCCTAGAGGACGAAAATATGAGGGGGCATGGTAGCTCGAGAAATTGTCCTTGAAGTGAAGCGGGTGTATCGCGCCCACTCAATGATTCATGAGCCATTTTTTCTCACTCTGCTTGATTCTGCACCGCCGAGCAGGTGCTGGGATCTTTGTGGTGCCGACACTGTTGTTATCCCACCTGTGGCAACAATGAATGACGATGAGGAACCTGTTCTTCAGGATTCTATAGAACCTATTGCCACATATGAGGGGGAGGAACAACAGCCTCAAACAGTAGATGTGCTAAATGTGGAGGCCCCTAGAAGGTCTCAAAGAGTTAGAAAATCAGCTATTTCTGCTGATTATGAAGTGTATAACACTAAGGAATTTCAAATGGAGGATGATCCCACCTCATTTGAAGAAGCCATGAGAAGTGATGATTCATCAAAGTGGCTTGAGGCCATGAAAAATGAAATGAAATCGATGAATGTCAATAAAGTTTGGGATTTGGAAATAATTCCTAAAGGAGTCAAAACAGTAGGCTATAAATGGGTCTACAAGACTAAACATGACTCTCAAGGGAATATAGAGACATATAAAGTGTGACTTGTGGCAAAAGGCTTTATGCAAAGAGAAGGGATTGATTACAATGAGACCTTTTCTCTAGTCTCATGTAAAATTTCCTTCAGAATCATAATGGCATTAGTGGCACATTACGATTGAGAATTACATCAGATGGATGTAAAGGCGGCATTTCTCAGCGGAGACTTGGAGGAAAATGGTTACATGGCACAACCAAGAAAGGTTTTGTCATGGAAGGAAAAAAAACGAATGGGATGCCGCTAAAAGAAATCCATTTATGGATTAAAGCAAGCTTTAAGACAATTGGTACTTGAAGTTTGATCAGGTCAATAAAAGAATTTTGGGTTTTAAAAGAATGTAGAGGACAATTGTGTCTATGCAAAGTTTAAGAATCGGAAGTTTATCTTCCTTGTCCTGTATGTAGATGATATCTTACTTGCTAGTAGTGATGTCAGTCTACTATAGGAGACAAAGAAGTTTTGTCCCCAAAACTTGATATGAAAGATCTTGACGAAGCCTCGTTCGTTCTAGGGATCGAGATTCACCGAGATAGAAGAAAAGGGTATAATGACTGTCACAAAAGGCATACATGGAAAAGATCTTAAAGAAATTCAGTATGCACAAGTGTAGTCCCTCACCTGCTCCTATAGTCAAGGGCGACAGATATGGGGATTTTCAATGCCCCAGGAACCAATATGAGCTCAATTGATAAAGTGAAAGTGGTTCCATATGATTCAGCTGTCGGAAGCTTGCAATATGCTCAAGTATGTACACGCCCTGACTTGGCATTTGTTACCGGATTTTACTTGACAGATTCCAGAGCAATTCTGGAATAGAACGCTGAAATTAGTAAAGAAAGTCTTGCATTATTTGCAAGGAACGAAAGGCCTCATGATGACATATAGAAGATCTGATTCACTCCACATGGTGGGATATTCAGATTCTGATTATGCGAGAGTGAATGCATATCCAGACGTGGATTTTCTATCATCTCGCAAAGGGGAGCTATTTCATGGAAAAGCTCAAAACAAATCATCATTACATCGTCCACAATGTATGACAGTTAAAGGGCGTTATGAGGCAATCTGGGTGAACTAACTAACGGGTTCATACCCGGTTTGAAGGTGGTTGGCGACATCTATAAACCACTAAAGTAATCTGCGATTATAATGCAGCGTTATAGGATGCTCACAACATAAGTCAAGTGGTGCTGCCAAACACATTGACATAGAGTATTATGTTGTGAAAGATAAAGTCCGGGATCAAGTCATAAGTCTTGAGCATATAAGTATAGAAAAGATGCTCGCGGATCCGCTTACAAAAGGCTTACCACCCAACATGTTGAGAGAGACATGGTGTCCAGAGAACATGTAGCTAGCTTGGGTTTAAGGAAAGCCTAAAATATTCCTGGACAAAAGAAGGCCCAAAGATAAGTATCTATTTGAGCGAGTAGTGAGTTGTACACATTTAAGTCTATCGGCAATGGACCGTGGCGATGAGACATGCTCTATGAGCTAATCAGAATGGAATGAACAAAAGTAAATGATATGAAAGTGAAAGATGGAATGAGATGAAGGGGAAGAATGTTAGTTGATCTCCACCATAGGCCCAACGCGGCCTATTGGGCCCTTATCTCCGCTCCACGATCGGGGAGCCCAACCTAATCCGGTTGGTGGGCCTCACGCATGCAAAGACACATAAAAGGAAGGTGGGGGTGAGGGCTCTGGACAACGAGGTTCGCCGTGAGCCGCCATTCCCACCTACGTAACCCTAATCCGATCTAAAGGCCGGTCTTGCCAACGACGGATGAGCCCCAACCACCGCCACGTCGACCCTTTCAGTGAGGTCACCACCGGACCAGCTGCCTCTCCACCAAGCGCATGGACTTCACCGCCACAGCACTGGGCGTCTTCTACAACTGCGCGCACCGGCGTCTACCCGCTCGGTGCATCTCTCGAGAGAAGGCGAGGAGTCTACCGGATCTCACGGGTCACACAGAGGTACCGATCCTACGATCCTAACATATACTAGTATTGAGTTATAGTGATTTGCCTTACCATTTGAAGACTTGCTTCTTGTATTTCAGTATCTTTCGAGAGGACTACAAGATTAGAAGGAAAAATGTTATCCAGCGATGGGTGGCGGAAGGCTTTGTATCTGAGAAGCGGGGGCTATCTGCAGAGCAGGTTGCTGAGAGCTACTTTGCAGAATTTATCAATAGGAGCATCATCCAACCTATTGATATAAGTGATAGTGGAAAAGTTAAAACTTGTAGGATTCATGACGTAATGTTGGAGGTCATCGTCGGGCTGTCAGTTGAGCAGAACTTTGTATCACTTATGGGGATCAATATGTAAGGACTTCCCATGATAAAGTTCGGAGGGTTTCCTTACATGGCAGTGGGTCGTACAATCTATCAACTAGCTTGGAATTGTCACATGTTCGATCGCTAAGCTCCTTTGGAGATATGCCAGGAGTTGTCTGTTTCAACAAGGCGAGATTTCTTAGAGTGGTGGATCTGGAAAACTGTGAATTTCTAAGAATCATCACCTTAAACAGATCTGTGCATTGTTCCAACTTAAGTTCTTGAGTTTAAGAAGCAGGCACAACATAAATAGGCTTCCAAGAAATATCCCGGAATCTGAAGAGCTTGGAAACTCTGGATTTAAGGGGACATGTGGATGAGTTGCCTGGTAGTCTCACTGAGCTTAAGCACTTGGTACATTTTCGTTCAGGTATACCTACTTGCCGTTTGGCTTTGGAAAAATGAAAAAGCATACAGTCCTTGGGGTTGATAGAGATCTCAGATGACACATCTTGGAGGATACAGGAGATTGGATGCTTGGTGCAACTAAAGAAGCTTCGGATACGGTCACGCAATGGTCTGAACAAGGAGAACTGGGAGTCTCTACTTGCAGTCATTGAGAAGCTGAGCAGGTCCCTCGTGTCCCTGTCAATTGAAACAGATGGGAGGACCTTTTTGTTTGCCACTTGAACCTATTCGCTCTCATGTATGTTCAAGTTGGGGTGGTGTAGATGGTGACTACAACTGATGCAGTAAGAGCATCAGGAATTCAGGATAGGCTGATGGCAGTGGTAGCGCCATATCCAGACACCTCTCACAAACCTGTATATTGAGCTGGGACGAAATTGATGCTGACTACAACAGATGCACTCATTTGCAGGCTGCTAAACTCCCGATAACAGTTTCTATAGCATCATTTCCTTCAGCCAGGTCCATAAATACCATGAACAACGTCAATCTATAGGTGCCACTATGAAGAAAACTGAAGGCGCTTCAAAGGTCACAACGACATCAATGAGGCAACACAAGTAATTTTCAAGCATCATCAACAATGATGGAGAAGTTGCATACAAAATGAATCCAGAATGTTTCCTCAGGAAAGCACGGCTTCTCCCAAATATGTTATTGGCAAAATGTTCAAGTGTTTTCATCAAACCATTCACATCTAAAAGAGATTATCTACTAATAAAAAAGGAAACTGTTATAAGTAGATTTCATCTCACCAGTAAAATCGCTTACGAGTTTCAGTAATCATCAATGCAGGGAAAAAAATGCGAACTTTAATCTAAAAAATACGAATATGTACAAGCAGAAATTGTATTAAAACAGGGTTACTAGATAAACTAACTAGCACCTACATAGGAGCGCTACCATAAATAGAAGTCAAGACAGAGGCGTATTGTCAGAAATGCACGGCACCACTTGTGCAGAATGTGCTGACTGCTGAGAGTGGAACCAAATTTTATCCACGTTCAATGTGTAGAAGCAGTCACCCGGTAATAAACTTTACCAACCTAGACAAAAGGATGAATTATGTCTGAAGTTATAAGTTGGCACTCTTGGATTCAGTAACCAACAGAAGTTACAGAAGCTTAGTAAATCAAGATGAACAGTGAAAACTTGGGGGCCCGAATCCTACAAAAGAAATCCAGAAAAGTTTATCAATACACTTGAAATTCATATGGTAAACTCATTCTACCTTGCACTAAATTCACTAGCTACATCGACTTACAGTCTGGTATATTGAACATGAGGTGATAGTGTTACAGTGGTTTACATGGTACAAGTATAACAAAGCAACATAATGCACAGTCAGCGAGGGAACTCTGTAGAATATATCATTTCTTGCTCCATGGTATAACAGCAAGGCCATTTTCAGCTCTCTTGTTCATAGTCAGGGGAGTAGATTTATACTCTGAAGATAATAACTGTTTGGTTTCTCTGCCCCTTTTTGACTCCTCTTTGTATGTTCTAGATATTTTAGCTCTTAGGAGTTGCAATCTTAATTCCACTTCTTTCATTTTAGGTCTCTGTTCTCCTTTAGGCCTTAAACACATCTCCGCAGCCAAGGTAATCTCATCAACATCACTTTGGCTAGCTTCCTCTAGAACTTGGCAATCCACCAAATCCATAGTAGTTTTATCTCTAAGCACTTCAAGGAAATAATGACACAAGTTCTGCTTTTCACCAAGGTGGTTGAGGAAAATTGGCTTCTTCCTTGTTAGGAGCTCAACAAGTATCACGCCAAAACTATAAACATCACTCTTTTCAGTTAATTGGTCTGTATAGTAATACACAGGATCTAGGTAGCCAAATGTCCCCTGCACAGCTGTAACCACACGAGTCTGATCAATGGAAATGGATCTGGAAGCACCGAAGTCTGAAACCTTTGCAGTGAAGGCATCATCCAAGAGTATGTTAGTTGATTTCACATCTCTATGAAAGATTGGCATAACAGCAGAAGAATGGAGGTAAGAAAGTGCCCCAGCAGCCTCTAGAGCAATCCTGATACGGTCCTCCCATGTTAACAAGCATTTGGCACTCAGATTGCCATGAAGAAGATCATGAAGTGTGCCATTAGAGATGAATTCATATACGAGAAGCGGCACCTCAGATTCAAGGCAACAACCAAAAAGTTTCACCACATTGCGATGAATTATCTGTGACAGGATGGCCACCTCATTAACAAATTGGTCGATCTCACTCTGCTCCACAATTTTAGACCTTTTGATGGCAACTACCCGTTGGTCAGATAAAATACCCTTGTAAACTGTGCCATGGCCTCCATGTCCAATAATACATGTCGAGTCAAAGTTGTTGGTTGCTTTCTCTTACTCTTCCAAGGAAAATATTCTTGTGTTATGTGTAACACTTTCACTCGAAGAGATCAGCTGCTCCAAGAGTAGGCCTTTGTTTTTCCGGAAGTATGCCCTTCGGATTTTCTTTTGTGTGTCTATCTTCCACCTTTTGACTAATACGATTGCAGTCAATGTAAGAAGTAGGACTCCAAAACCACTGCTAATTCCGACAACAATACCTACATGAGTAATTGCAACAATTGTGAAGTTATATTTTTGACAACTGGAGTGCAGAGACATCAAATGGTAAGGAAAGTGTGACATACCCAAAAGAACACTTTGCCGCTTACTAGAAGTGCACTGCCTTCTTACTGGATCAAAATGCATACCTTGAGGGCAACAACCATAGCTTCCTTGAAAGTTATAGCATGTCCCGTTACAATAGTTTGGTATCGAGCACTCATCAATATCTGATAACAGAATCCCAAACAATGTAAAAATGGAGTGGATAAAATATGTCACTTTTGATGATGGTCCTATTGCTTTGTCTCAACCACGCCTCATTAATATATATGCAAATGGCATACAGTCAAATTCAATGGATATCATGAAATTGTTGTCAAATATGCCTATTGTTGCACAATCAAATGCATGCATTGGATAGGTTAAGGAATGCACACTTGTACATCCATTTTGAACATAAGGGTTTCCTTCAAAACCAGGAGAGCACTTGCAACGATAACCAATATAGATCGTCCCATGTGTAACACCAAGGCACTCGCTGTTTGTGCTGATGCATGCATAAGTTCTGTCGCGTTTTGCACTTTCACATGTCAAATTGGTTACTGACCAACTCCAAGAACCATACTCTTCAGATAAGTCAGATTTCTCCAGACCATAAATTAGTTGCTGGCCAAAGTACTCAGAACCTCCATAGTATATCGATAAATAATTTGTGTTGGCGTCTTCAGATTCTGAAAGCTTATTGACATACAAGAGTCCTTCATCTAATGAAATATTTGTCACTTCATATTTTGCAGGTGGTCTTCCAATAAGAGTGCGATTGGATGCACAATTCAATTGAAATCTCCTTTTAGCAAAACAGCCTGGCTCCAGCCCGAAAGGGAAAGGAATATATGTGTTTCCACATGATCGAGAACAGTTTGTCTTGGGGGTTAGGTTATACTCTGCTCCAGTTAAGAAAATCAAAATATGACTAAAAGTGTGTCACAATATAATAATCAGTGACAAAAAGAAGCACCGGGGGGAGAGTGAGTGAGTGAGGAGTTGTGTGCATACCTTGTTTGCAATCATCAAGAAGGTATGGGTTGCCAGTTGCCACCATCAAAATTTCCAGAGCAAGCACAAGAGTAGCCTCCATTTTTTACATCCATGCGATCACTATTGCCACATGCATACTGTGTTTTATTATCCAACTGGGCTTGTTTGCAGTTGTGTTCATCAGCGATGACAGTTGAGAGGTATGCGGATAAAGCAGCAACGATGCTTGCATTTATTTTATCAGACAATAGATCCATAATACTAAACTTACATGGACGGAAGCTTAAGAAAGCCTTGACGGTGATATCATGGAAGGGTTCTGGTACTGTATCGTTGTTCTTTACGATGGTCACTCTGAACCCTCGAAACGGCACCGGGAACGTGACAGTGCAGCAGCCCATGCCATTGCAGCTCCCACCTTGTGTTGCTATGAGCATGGCCTCCATGGAGGAACACTTGCTTGTGCAATGGCCTACAAGGTCACCGGTGTCTGGGTGGAACAAGCAGATCCCAATTCCGCAACCAAGGAACGCAAAGTAATTGTAAGACTCGATGTTGAGGTTACGCCCAGGAGACTGCCAGGACAAGTTGTAGGTGCCAACACCTGGTGCCATGGTGATGGTGTACACAATAGAGGCAAGGACAGTTCCTGCAGGATAGAGGGCAGTTACCTGAGTGGTGGTGTTTCCCTTGCCCAAGAAGAGCTTCCAAGGTTTGGTGGTCCTATCGCAGGTGACCTCGAATCCCTGCCGGAAGCAGCCAGGCCCGATGCCGAAGGGGTACCAGATGCTCACATCCCCACAGGTCTTGGGGCAGTGTGCAAGAGTAGCAAGAGAGGGAGGACCGGCTCCAGATGCCACCAACATGACAGCAGATGCCAAACTCCACACCAACAGCAGCTGCATCGTGGCGATTACAATTCCCTTTGCTGAACCCATAAGATGAGAGACAACAAAACACCCTGTATTATAGTGCATAGCCTATCAATGGTTATGTGGTGGACATTTGCAGGAACACTTGGGGGACTCATGTCGGTCCTTACCGGGTAACTTCTCATGGATGGACTTCTTGGGCAGGACTAATTGACTTGGATCAGGTAACACGTCCATACAGGTGTACAGAACAGGCGTGAGTGCGATGCCCAATTGTGTCTACTACTCCATGGTAATCTGATATTCCAATTCCAGTCTGGGCAGGTGCTGCACGCCTGCATCCAGGTCGTGTACATACTACATAGTGGGGGTGACGTATGAGCAACTCTAACTTGTGAATTGGGGCTTTGAGGATCCACAGAGCACTATCACCACACATCTCGAAAGGAAACCAAATGTGAATTTCAATCCCTAGATTTCTACTGTTCAACGATGTGGTGGAGCTAGAAATGGAACACAGGAAGATGCAATCGAATTCCATCGAAAGACTCTTGTGGGAAAACAGAAAAGCCATGTGCACGCGCACCGCGTGGATTCTGTATGTGGGGAGGGAGGATTTCTACCATGGGAGCAAGAGAGTCGCAGGTGTTAGAATCGATGGTGTACCTCTCTGTAACCGTAGATCCGGGAAGGCTCCTCGCCCTGGGTTCCTCTGCACGCCTGGCTGCAGCCTCGCGGACGCTGGTACTTGGCATGGTGGTGAGGAGGCGAGGTGGCGATACCGTGGAGGTCCAGAGGGGACGGTGTAGACCTGCAGGGGGGACGGCGGTGCGGTGGGACACATCCCGTCGCTGGCAGCACCTCTTTAGGATCGGATTAGGGTTTTCTATGGGTGGGATGGCGGCTTCAGTGAACCTCGTCATCCGAGCCTTGATCCCCACATTCCTTTTATGTGTGTTGTACGACAGGGGCCCACCAACCGTATTAGGGTTGGGCTCCCCCGATCAGGGAGCAGAGACAAGGGCCCAATAGGCCGTTGGGCCTATTGGTGGAGATCAACTAACATTCTCCCATTTGATCTTATTCCATCTTTCAATTTCATATCATTTACTTTTGTTCATTCCATTACAGATTAGCGCATAGAGCATGTCTCATCGTCACAGTCCATTGCCGATAGACTTAACAGCTACAACACACTACTCTGTTCTCAAATAGAGACTTATCTTTGGGCCTTCTTTTGTCCAGAAATTTTAAGCTTTTCCTTAAACCCACGCTAGCTACATGTTCTCTGAATACCATGTTCTCTGAACATGTTGGGTGGTAAGCCTTTTGTAAGCGGATCCGCAAGCATTCTTTCTGTACTTATATGCTCAAGACTTATGACTTGATTCCGGACTTTATCTTTCACAACATAATACTCTATGTCAATGTATTTGGCAGCACCACCTGACTTATGTTGTGAGCATACTGTACTGCCAGATTGTAATCGCAGTATAACTTAAGTGGTCTATAGATGTCGTCAACCACCTTTAAACCGGGTATGAACTTCTTTAGTCAGTTCACTTGCCCGTTGCCTCATAACACACTACAAACTGTCATACATTGTGGATGATGTAGTGACAGTTTGCTTTGAGCTTTTCCATAAAATAGCTCCCCTTTGCGAGATGATAGAAAATCCACGTCTAGATATGTATTCACTCTCGCATAATAAGAATCTGAATATCCCACTATGTGGAATGAATCAGATCTTCTATATGTCATCATGAGGCCTTTCGTTCCTTTCAAATAATGCAAGACTTTCTTTACTAATTTCAGTGTTCTATTTCAGAATTGCTCTGGAATCTGCCAAGTAAAACCCGGTAACAAATGTCAAGTCAGGGCGCGTACATACTTGAGCATGTTGCAAGCTTCCGACAGCTGAAGCATATGGAACCACTTTCACTTTATCAATTGAGCTCATATTGATTCCTGGGGCATTGAAAATCCCCATATCTGTTGCCCTTGACTATAGGAGCAGGTGAGGTACTACATTTGTGCATACTGAATTTTTTTAAGATATTTTCCATGTATGCCTTTTGTGACAGTCCTTATACCCTTTTTCTTCTATCTCGGTGAATCTCGATCCCTAGAACGAACGAGACTTCACCAAGATCTTTCATATCAAATTTCTTTGTCTCCAGTAGTAGACTGACATCACTATTAGCAAGTAAGATATCATCTACATACAAGACAAGGAAGATAAACTTTCCATTCTTAAACTTTGTATTGACACAATTGTCCTCTACATTCTCTTTACTTTGTATAGACACAATTGTCCTCTACATTCTCTTTAAAACCCAAAATTCTTTATTTTCTGATCAAACTTCAAGTACCACTGTTTTAAAGCTTGTTTTAATTCATAAATAGATTTCTTTAGGCGGCATCACATTCGTTCTTTTCCTTTCATGACAAAATCTTTCGGTTGTGCCATGTAAACATTTTCCTTTAAGTCTCCGTTGAGAAATGCCGTCTTTACATCCATTTGATGTAATTCTCAATCGTAATGTGCCACTAATGCTATTATGATTCTGAATGAAACTTTACATGAGACTGGAGAAAAGGTCTCATTGTAATCAATACCTTCTCTTTGCATATAGCCTTTTGCCACAAGTCGCGCTTTATTTTTCTCTATATTCCCTTAAGAGCCAAGTTTTGTTCTGTAGACCCATTTACAGCCTACTGTTTTGGCTCATTTAGGAATTATTTCCAAGTCCCAAACTTTATTGGCATTCATTAATTTTATTTCATCTTCCATGGTCTCAAGCCACTTTGATGAATGATCACTTCTCATGGCTTCTTCAAAAGAGGTGGGATCATCCTCCATTTGAAATTCCTCAGTGTTGTACACTTCATAATCAGCAGGAATAGCTGATTCTCTAACTCTTTGAGACCTTCTAGGGGTCTCCACTTTTGGCACATCTTCTGTTTGAGGCTGTTGTTGCTCCTCCTCATGTGTGGCAATAGGTTCTATAGAATCCTGAAGAATAGGTTCCTCATCGTCATTTATTGTTGCCACAGGTGGGATAACAACAGATGCTGACACCATAGTCTCTTGCACTATCGGTGCAGCGACAACAGGTAGTGAGAAAATTGGCTCATGAATCATTGGAGTGGGCGCATACACCCGCTTCACTTCAAGGACAATTTCTCGAGCTAGCATGCTCCCCCTCATCAATTCATCCTCTAGAAAGACAGCGTGTCTTGTTTCCATAAACTTTATCAGTCCCTCTGGACAGTAGAAACGAAAACCTTTTGACTTTTCTGGGTAGCCAAAAAAATGGCACCTTACTGTTTTGGGATCTAACTTCCCAATGTTTGGGTTAAATACTTTAGCCTCAGCAGGGCTCCCCCCACACACGCAAGTGGTTTAGTGAGGGTACTCTTTCTGTCAATAACTCATACGGTGTTTTGGGCACCGACTTTCTTGATACTCTATTGAGAATATGAATGGCGGTTTTTAACGCCTCCATCCACAGGCTCAACTGTAAGGTGGAGTAACTTATCATACTGCCCACCATATCCATCAGGGTGCGATTGATTCTTTTAGCTACTCTATTCTGCTGAGGTTCGCCCGGTGTAGAATACTGGGCTACTATGCCATTCTTTTAGGGTATGCTGACCGTAATACTCCTCCACGGTCAAACCTGACTATCTTAATCTTTAATATCTTAAATTTATCCAATACATCTTTTCTTTCTTTGATTGGATAAATATAGCCATAATGGGAGTAATCATCTGTGAATGTTATGAACGGATTATAACCATCCACACTCTTTACAGAAAAGTTGACCATAGATGTCTGTGTGAATAATCTGTAAAATTCCTACGCTTCGTTTGTCATATTTCTTAATCTTCTTTACATACTTTCCTTTTATGCATTCCCTGCATTGTTCTTAATCTGAGAGCTCTAATGGAGGAAGAATATCATTCTTAACTTGTCTTTCTATCCCCCCTCGAAATATGACCTAAACGACAGTGCCATAATTTCGACAACGCATCGTGAGCTCTCTTATGCCACCATTTCCAGAGTAACACTCTGTCACCAGCTGCTTTATCAGTTGGGTAGCATATGTCTTTGAAAAGCCAGTGAACTGACTCTTTATTCTATCGAGGTACTCGGTGACTGTGTCACACTCTAGGATTGAGCCCACAATTGCAGGTTCAATCATGTTCTTTATCACAGCCAAAACATTTCTTGTCGGTAGTGACCCACTTCCTATGCATAAAAGTCATAGACTATCTTTTGAGATTCAAAATCCCTCTCTTTAGTTGTCCAAGTGGCATCATTCTCTTTTTATCTCCCTCACTGGTGCCACAAACTCAGTGGAACACGGTGAGGTGACTACCCAGTCTACCTTAAACGAGATGAAAACTTGGTCAAAACTTTTTTTTATCATAAGAATAACACCATTTGCATGTCTTGATTCCAACGTTGGTCAAAATCAAAACATACAACTATTCTTATACACTAATTCTACATCACCGTTGGACAGAAATAGAATTAATGCATAAATCTTTAACTTTCACAACTATTTTTACACAATAATTCTACATCACCGTTGGACAGAAATAGAATTAATGCATAAATCATTAAAATTTACAACTCTTCTTATACACTAATTCTACATCACCGTTGGGCAGAAGTAGAATTAATGCATAAATCATTAAAATTATCAACTTTTCTTATACACTAATTCTACATCATCGTTGGGCAGAAGTAGAATTAATGCATAAATCATTAAAATTATGATATTGTTATTAACAACGTTGGTAAGAAAATAACAACATCATAATCATGTCAAATCTCTTTTTCTCCAATTAAATACCACATTGGTTCAAAAATAACTGGAGAATCAACATTTTCTTTAGCAGCGGAAAAAATCTCTTTTTCTCCAATTAAATACCACATTGGTTCAAAATAACTAGAGAATCAACAACTTTTCTTTGGCTGTGGAAAAACTCTCTTTTTCTTGAATTTTACCCACAGGGAAAAT